TTTTTTTTCACCCAGGCTGGAGTGCAGTGGTACAGTCTTGGCTCAGCGCAGCCTCTGCCTCCGTTTGAAGTAATTCACCTGCCTCAGCCTCCTGAGCAGCTGGGATTACAGGTGCACACCACCATGCCCAGCCAGTTTTTTTGTATTTGTAGTAGAGATGGGGTTTCACCATATAGGCCAGGCTGGTTTTGAACCGTGGCCTCAAGTGATCCACCCACCTCGGCCCTACAAAGTGCTGGGATTAAAGCTTTGAGCCACCAGGCCGGGCCAAGTCCTCTTTCTACGAGGACAGGAGATGATTACTAGCTCTCTGATGGGGCACATGTACACAACTTTGGTGGGGAGTGTGGGGATTGTTTTTGGAGTGTCATACCAACCATTTCTGAATTGTCTTTTTCTACTCTTTCTCCGTTTTTACCTCTCCAGTACGTTCACAGCTTCTGGCTGTTTGAGTCCCCATCACCTGGAGGCTCAAGTCCAGCTGCTTTCACTTCACATTCACTACACTCTTTGCTTTTGCAGAGAGGGAATCCAATTATCTGTACCCTGTCTTTCAACTCCATGTCTTTTCTCCCTCTCTTCAAATAGGCACAGAGAAGGGAAGTGGGCATGGAATAATAAGGAAGTCTAACACACAAGCAGAGGTCCAACTGAGAGATGAGATACCAGTCTTCCCTTCTTACTAATCTTTTAGATGAACTCTCGCTTGATTTGGACTCTCAGCAACAGCCCTATTCAGCTACATTAAGTCAGTGAAGCAAACTCTGATGATTGCCTCGTAATGGGGACAGGAGAAGGCACTTCTGGATAAGGAGGAACTAAGGAAGGTAAAGATGTTAAAGTTATGGAGGTGGAGTTGGCTCTCATTTGTTTAAGTCTGTCTTCCAAATATAAAATACTTGATAGATGCCTTTGTTCTTAGCCTTGGGTTCTAATTGCCAGCCCCTGGGCAATGGGGAAAGTGCTACCTGATATCTCATTATATACATTTTACCAGTCTTGCCTAGTAGTTTTATTCCTCCTAGCTACAGTGAAGTTCATTCCACTACAGCTGCTGTTGTAACCCTTTTAAACAGGTTATATCATTCCCTCAGTCAAAATACTGTAGTGACTTTCTAAAACAGTAAAAACAAAAAACAAACCCAAAGTCCATATTAAACCTTGGAAGGCCCTAGATGATCTGACAGCAGGTTAAGTTTTTGATCACATGTTCCTATCTCAGAGCTTTGCTATCACTCTACCATCTGCCTCTGTATGTGGTATTCTAAAACTCCAGAAAGTAGACTCACTTCATTTCATTCTTCATTTAAATCATGCTGCTTCCTTAGTGTTCTCTGAATACACTTAAAATAGTATATTTGTTCTCTTCCCATCACTTGCTTTATTTTTGGTTTATACACTAATTTTCATACATTACATTGTATATTTAATAGTTTGTTATATCACTTGTATTAACATGATTCTCAAGAGGACAGGACATTGACTTCTTTGTTCACCACTTTACCCAGTGCCTAAAATAGTCCTTGACCCATAGGAAACAATGGATTTTTTGTTGTTGAGTGAATAAATGAATCAATGAATTCTAGCTATTAGATTCAATCTTTAGAAAATATATTTAACTTATCCTTCATTATTTACTCTTCCAGTGTTCTACATAGTATAATTTTAATTTTTATCACTTTTATTATTTCTAACTGTATATTCCCATTATCATCACCCCAGTTGAATCATCCATACCTATAATTCATTTTCTATGCTGTTAGAATTATTTCTTACACAATATTTACTTAAATGCCACTGTTGGGGTAAAACATTCGAAGATTACTTAACATAATTGGTCCTGTGCCTATTCTCTTTCTCTTCATGGTTCTTACTTGGACTCTATTCCACTCACATCCTTTTCATTGCAGTATTCTGAATACTAAACTATGCTTCTCTTTACTTCTGTGCCTTTTTACATAAAACCTACTGCTATATATATATATATATTTTACTGTGTGAATACATAAATGTAACTTCTATGAGAAGAGTAGAAAACACTCTTTACATTTGAAGTCGTTAGGAACCACCTGTATAGTTGTTGTATGCTATTGTTTTATATGTATTAGCAAGTCTTTTTCCTCACTGAGTATCTTTAGGATTTGTTAAGAATTTACTTGTCATTTTATAAATGAGTATTTAAGTTACCACAATCTTGAGGAGCATACACCATTTTGTATTACTGTTTTGTAATATTGTGAATTATTTTAAAGGTGAGGATAATCTCTTTCTTTTTGGAGGATATGTATGTATGAATGGTTATTATATCTTTATATCTACAGAAAAATACCTAAAAGGAGTAGAGAAAATGATTCATACAAATAAAAGTATTATGTGCATTACTTTTTAAAAAAATGTGATCCCCTGCTAGATTCTTCAAATTTAGATTTTTTGTTTGTATATTGTTATATAAATAAAAGACTGATAAATGAAATGACATTATTTATATAAAATTTAAGCAAAATGTTTACTATATCTGACTCTATTCCAAGTAAATACAGTGTGTGAGAAGGGACCAGTGTGTCTTTTTGAGAAATGCAGACTCCAGAGGTATGTGGCAGGATTCTAAAACTTATACTTAACATTTTTATTTTGAAAATAATGCAGAAATGTATAGTTTGTGATATTGATCTATTTTAGAAGACATGGCTAAATAAAAAATAATATTATGAAATTATGTAGCAGTAAACAAAGGTAGAATCCCATAGTTATTTGAGGTAGCTCTTTTGAACAATTATTGCTATTACTGGTAATAATAGGCCAGGTATTGTTATCTGTGTCTGATATGCATTATTTCATTTTGTAGTTGGAATATCCATTCAAGTTACTATTATTCATTTTACATGAGAAGAAACAGCTGCTCATTTACACATTTAATTTAGAAGGATTACTTCTGCTTGTTCTGTTGGGTTTCTTGAGTATAATTTATCAAAGTTTCTTAAACTACATGAGAGGTTACAGAGCCCCTTAAAACCTAACAAAATGTTATGGCCCATTTCCCCTGAAAATGTGTGTATGGACTCACATATTTTTATTTTACTATGCGATTTCCTAGAAGTCCTAGAAATCTTAAATTTCGTTTGTGGACTCTAGATTGGGAATCTCTGTTCTATATCTTTTAAAATAAAGAGCCACATCTTGTCACTTAAGGAAAATAATTTACTTATTTACACTATGCTTTATTATAGAAAGAATTTAAGAAAGCTGAAAGAAAATTGTCAGCTATCTCTCTAACTCCACTGAGTATATGCCAAAGTAAATAAATTCTATTTAATTAGCAAGTGAGATTCAGAAAAGTTTGACATATGGTATGCTAATGGTCAGGTTTGTTGGACTTTGACACAAAGCATCCTCAGTCTGTTTCAGAAAGAAACCTAGGTGCGAATATTTTGAATAATGTAAAGTTACCTCTTCAGAGTAGTATGTACATAGTAGCTGTGCCTCAAGCTAGGAGATGAGATAGTACCTTACAGCCTTGTGATTCAGTGATATTTCTCAGAGAATAATTATTGAATTTGATTTTCTGATTCCATCAAAGATAAATTATGTGGACAGGTTGTTGTAGTAAAAGCAGAATGTGGTAATAATTTTCTGTACTAATGAACTAAAGTGATCTTAAACTTGGTTGACTCATTGTTTATATGGGCTAAGGACGAAGACTGTGTTTAGGGTCTATCTTAATTTGATTTTGGAGAAAAAAAGTTGTATTTTTATAAGACATCAGTTGAGGACTAATTTCATAAAATTATTTTTAAAATATAAAGTCATTTGGAATTTCAGAATAGCTTTTTAAAAATCCGTTTTAGATATTTTAATGTACTTGTGCTTCAGTTTTGATATCTTACCTATTTTGTTTTTTTCCCCCTTGAATTCTCATCGGAACCAAAAACATTAATTAGCTGAGCAGAGTAAAGAATCTTGTTGTATATGTTGGCCTGATTTTAGGTAAATTTCTGTAGAAATAATGTTATAAATCAATATAAGTATTTGGGTTTTATTTTTTAACATACACATATGTTTTAACATTTGGTTTATAGTTATGTTGTGAATTGAGTAAGTGTATTTCTGCCTTTCCTGCAATCATTCTTAGCATTCAATTTTTAAATGAATGATAGCCCATCTGCGTAGGTCTCTGTGACTGAGTGATGTATTCTGTTTTGCTGTGGCAAAGTTTTCAGACAGCCACTTTGTTCTTATATATTTTCATTTTCTATAGTACTTTTCATCCCTGTATATATGTACAGGAGTCACTTCACCCACCACCGAATTGCAGCCACTTCTGAGGTGGAACGCAGCAACTGTTTAACAGCGCACTTTCCCCTAGGTGCTGACAGCTGCAGAAGAAATTGTACATGATGCTGTACAGAAGGTATTTCTCCACTGTGCCATCTGCAGAGTGAAACTGACTAGGAGTACTACATAGACTGTAAGTTTCTTGTGTACCTGCCCTAGACTGGAAAACCCAATAAGAGAAAATAACAAATAACTGGGAAACATCATCTAAAAATGTATTGAGGTCAGTTAAACTTAGTGCTGCTCTCCCTGGCTCTAAATTTTATTTTAAGATCATCTGATTGGTATGAAATTAAATAACAAATAGATGGATGCACTCCTTTTTATTCTAAAAGCAAATGAAACTAAAATGCTTTTATCAATATTCCTCACTTTGAATGGAACTTAATCATATTGTTTTTAAATATTTTTAAGTAACCAAACCAATGTTATAAAATTTCAGAGCCATGTTGTTAAAATAGCAAAAAAGAAAAAAAAAAAAATTGTAATTCAACAGGAACGTCTTAATTAGCTTTGCTTCCAGTGTTTTATGTCTTGGTTTTAATACTTTCTTTTGGAGTTTTGCAGCAAAGCCAGTTTATGATGAACTAGTTTTGATTCTTAGGATTGGAAACACCAAATTTGACTTCTTTTTTATTTTTATTGTTAATTTTTCTGAGATGAGGTCTCGCTCTTTCACCCAGTATGGAGTATGGTAATGTGATCATGGCTCACTGCAGCCTCAACCTCCTGGGCTTAAGCGATCTTCCTGCCTCAGCCTCCCAAATATCAAAGAGAGCCTCCCAGCTATCAAAGTAACTGGATGCTTGCACTATAGGCATGCACTACCACAGCTGGCTTTTTCTTTTTTCTTTTCTTTTTTCTTTTTAGTTTCTGTAGAGATAGGGTCTCACTGTTTGAGACTAGCCTGATCTGGAACTCCTGGCCTGAAGCGATCCTCCCACCTTGGTCTCCTGAAGTGCTGGGATTATAGGCGTGAGCCACTGTGCTCTGCCCTTTTTTTTTTTTTTTTTTTTTTTCTTTAACATTTGGGGAGGAAAGCAGGGGAGAGAAGAAACAGTAAATATTTGAACTTCCGCTTAATGTAGTTTTAGTCTCTCCCATTTAATTATTTAATGAGGTTTTCTTTTGTAAAAGCACTTTTATAAGAGTGCTATCTTTTGCAATAGTTTGGCATGTTTATGCCTTATAAAATAGAGAAAATATCATTAGAAACAGCTGTGTCTGTTGTTACACAATATGATACGGTATATTATATTTATTATTTTAGGATTTTTTTAGTCAATAGTATGACATTTTATCTCTTTTTTGCTACATTTATAGACTGCTCTATGTAAAAAAAATTAGAATCTCAGACTTCACAGAGTCTTAATCTTATTAAATATAATGTCATTTGGTTTAGGTAACTTTATGTGTCATAAGTTAAATTATATTGTGCACGTATCTATGTTTATAGATTCTTAGTCAAAACAGATAAAAAATAACTTCATTCCACAGTTTGTTTACTTGTAAAATGAGTTGGGTAGAAGAAATGATTTTCTAGGGACATTTAAAGTGTTTTCTGTTTAATTCAGGGTTAGTAGTGTATGTATTTAGAATTGTACCTTACCAAGATATTTGGGCTTCAGTGACTTTGTTCTAATTAGAGTATTATTTGTGTTAATTAAATGCTGAGTGATAATGTTTTAGAATCAATAGAGGGAGTTGGGTTTCCTACAATGATTTTCAATTATCTATCTAATTTTGTAGTGTAGATAACTCCACTGTTTTGAAATGCAATTTTTGGACAATGCAGCACAGTTCTTAATATCTTACTCATCATGGAAGCATAAAGTGAGTAAGAATAAAAGGCTTTACTTACACCAAGTGGAAATTTACTTAAAGGTTACCAAAAACTCATATTGTAATGAGGCTTACCCCCTTGCATAGATTTAGTATTTCATTTAATAGTCAAAGCACTAAAGAAGTAAATATCAATACTTAAATATTTACAGTTTACACATAATGTACCTATGTATCTCTAGCCAAGAGAGTATTTTAGGAAATATAGTAAATATTTGAATTGCTATAATTGATTCTTTGGCACTTTCTACAGTGTTATTGTAAGTATTACTTAATCCCATTCATTTTATTTACTGAAGTCATCATTATTTGACAGAATAGATTATATGTTTTATATATTAAATTCTGGTTGAAAAGGTACAAACTGTACCTGTTTTGTGTGTCCTAGTATCTATTTTTTAATTATACAAGTTATTTCTTATATTTTAGACTTTTTGTGGATGATAAAAGTTTGGCAACTTACTTGATTCAATATTTAGTCATATGAATCTTGTACTTTATTATACCCAGAGTGTATGGGATTTGAAAAAGAATCAGATGGGAACTTTTTATTGAATATGCTTCTGTATTATTGAATTTAATGAAAATATACTGTTTGTGTAATCAAAAATAAACTCTTGGTGTTTCAGTTAAATTATTTATTTGGAACATTTGTTTAGTTTTTTAGAGTTTATCACGATTTCATAAAATAGATACCTCTTATCTCTATTGGTGATTTTCAAAGGGCCTTCCTCATGCTTTGAAAGGCCAGAATTGTGAGCAGGATTATTACTTAATTAGTACTCACTTAATAATTTTGGAATTCAGAAATAAATTATAGGTTATGAATAAAGTTTAATGAAATATTTGTTTTCCATCTTTTCTCATTATAATTTTCTATTTGTAATAGGAAAAATGAAACGAGTGCATAAGTTATATGAATTTATTTTATTTTATTTTATTTTATTTT